TGAATTTGAGACATTTATACGGTAATTTTATTTCATGAACAGAACTATTTTTTTCGATTAGTAAAACCTTCATTAGATTTTTTAAATATCATCAGCAAGTAGGTTATGAGTTTAATTTTATAATTAAAAAATTTTATTTGAGGCGTTTATGAACAGAGAACTATTTTTTCGATTAGTTTTTCATTATAGTGAATCAGAAGCCTCCAAATGACACTTAAAGAATGATGACTTACCCTCCTTATGATGCACAATATATTTTGTTTTGGTTGGTTGTTGGTTCTATGTGTGGTACCAAATAGCGTAAAAATATGTTTTAAAACACTATATATTCAGAAATCTTCTCGGGGAAGGCCCCAGACCCCCCAGATGTTTGTTATCCTGGTATAATCTTTGACTATTGATAGAACATCAGTATCTAAAAGTCGAAAAGTCAATGGTATAGTGGCAAGATTCCATATTTTTAACTGATTAATATAGTAACACTTTTTTATTAAACTTCAGGAGTAACCCTTTTCAAGGATGGTAAAATTCTGACCACAAACTCCAGTTACTGTGTCATAGTGATGTCTTCCCTGTCCACATGGGGGGGGATCCGATTCCAGTGGTGTGAGTCTGTGAGTTCCGCTATGTAATAATAGTACTGGTGAAAAGCATTTAATCATTGTTAAATAAAATAATTGCTTACTAATTTGTCATAAAAAAAAAACCCAGCCAAAAGGCAATTTTAAGATTTATTTCCGTCCAGTGTACTAGAACCAGAGTGTGTTATTCTGATGTCTAATATTTGTATACTAGTTGCTCTGCCCGTGCTTCGCTACGGGGTGAGAATGCAGAAAAGAATAATTCAGTTTTACTTTAAGATACTATAATATACTAACAGAAACAGTTACAATACACTTATCAGGAAACATATAGGCAAAGGCTCAATCGTTCTTATTGAGTTTTTAAATGAAGAACTCTTAATATATTACAGTACTATAATTTCATAGTGTACCGTAAAATGGGGTGAATAGAAACAACAGGGTGAATAGAAACAAAACTTCAATGAATGATTCACATTTTTATAACTTTGTTATACATTGACTTTATATAAGGGAATTATTTTCCCCCATTATAACCATATCCTATCTACCTAGGAAAAATTAGTTTAGCATATTTGTATCAATGCTTCGGATGTTGGATGATGCGAAACATCATTTGAAAATTTTTGCGAAAAACATTCTTTTCAAAACTTTCTCTCTAAGTATTGTGACAGGTAGCCGAATGAAACAACAAAAATGCACTACGAATAATAATTTATTTACTTAATTTATGATAAAAACAATAGTGAAGTGTTTAGCTTCCGACTTGCTGTATAATCCTATAAATTTAGTTTACAACACAAATAAGTTATTGGGGGACATAGCCTCCCGAGGAGGCTATGGGGAAAGGCGACGCGACGCGGAATTTACATGACCGATTGAATTGGATTTAGAATTTAGACTAACTCAACTGAGTGTGCGCTTCCCATAGCCCAGAGTTGGGCGTGGAGGGGAACCAGCCAATCACGTTGCGGCTATGCCGCGTGACGTCAGTGCAAGCCCTGGACGGTGCTGCTGCCTAACGATTCATCAGGGCATAGTTGCGCATTAACTGATTTCATCGAGCGACTTGCTGAGCTGTATCAGCAAATTCCAGCCATGCGCGTTACACTTTCCGAGAACGTTGGCCTGACCTAGGCTGACGGAATATTCCATGGTGAGGCAACTGGTTGACGCAAAAAGCTGGGAGGTTAACAGTCCAATATTACATACCCTCTTTTTATATTTGAAATAAAGCAAAGCTTCTGTGACGGTAAAGACAGGGTTTCCTGAGGGTGTAACCAAAACCTCCCCAACTGATATGTAATGGGTCTGGGAATTTTTGGGACCGTCACAGTATGAACCTATTACATGTATTTATGTTAATAACCATTGTTTATATTGTCTTAGGTATCTTAAAACCAAGTGTGTTAATAGATTAGTCTTAGAATAAACTATATTTTTTTACTTTATTTTTAATTTAGGTTATGTCATGATTTTGCAAAACCAGGGTGAATAGAAACACTTTTTTTTGAACCAGTGGTGCAAATAAAGGTTGACCTGAAAACCCCCCAAAAAAGAAAAAAAAATACCAGAGATGAAGATGATTCTACATCAGTCACACTGGAAGAAAGTGACAAAGACGAACAATTTGATGAAGAAGAACCAGCATACCTAGCTCAAGACATCAGCGAGTCTTCAAAGTTGTCCCTTCATGATCATGTAATTGTCAAAGTAATGGGGAAAAACAAAACTTGCTATCGTTTATATGTTGCAAAAGTTATTGAATTTGACGAGGAAGGATAAATAAGAAGATTCATCAAGAAAATTGCGCAAACCAACAAGTTCTGAGAGACAGATTAAGAGGCCCTCTTCAAAGTCGATGACTTAGTACGATCGGCTTCCAACTCCCAAGCCGTGTACAACTTGTAGATTTAAGGGAGTGTTGTATTTTGAGGATGATTTGTCTGATTTTACTCTTCATTTAGTTGGTTTCTATGTAAGATTTTGTTACTCTGATTTCACCCATTGTCATTTATGTTCTCCGATTTGTTTGGATAAGGGTTTATGAAAACGACGTTTTTATACTTCGTACTTATAAATGTGTTAATTAACTTTAAATATTTTTATTTACAACAACCTAAGCTAACAAGCATAAATTTCATGTTTCTATTGCCCCTGGTAAGTGAGGAAAAGCAACAATCATCAATTTAACACAGTGTTTCTATTCACCCCAAAGTGCGGGGTGAATAGAAACAGCCATATTTTATTTTTTTTCTGGTTAATGATTAAAAAGAAAAAAAATTGATAACTGGTTTGAGTAGAGGAGTTCAAGACCAAAAATATGAGCTAGTGTTGAAAATTTAAAAATTAAAAATATCGGTTTTACAGAAGCTTAAAAGTCAAAAAGTGTTTCTATTCACCCCATTCTACGGTATAGCATTTAAAATATATGCAAAAGTATAATTCATTGACAACATGGAACCAAGAAACAATTCTCCTTCTATACAAATTAAATTAAATAGCAGAACAGCATTTCTGACAACAGCTGGAGTTTCATAACAATGTTTGTTTCCCATGTTAATCTGATGGAGAAATACGAAACTTTAAAGGGCCCCAGGGCCTCACTCTCTAATTATTTCCCTAAACAGAAAGTTTCCTGCACAACTTCACGTTATGCTCTTTCCAATGACACCAAAAACTTGTCAATCGGTTCAGTAGTTTCGGAGGAGTAATTGTCACAAAAATCCTGCTTGCGTATTAAATAAGTATATATAGATTGTTAATTTAGCAAATAAAAAAAATACTTAAACTAATAAAAAAATAAATCTGTCCCAAAAAATAGTTTGGATACCTACAGTAGTCTACATAAGTTACTTAGCTCCTTCATTCCCCACTGAAATTATTTCAATTTATCACCCCCATTGATTAAAGAGCAAAATATTTTAGGTAGCCTATAGGTACTAATTGTAAAAATTGTGTTTACCATGTGAATAAATAAATAAATTAGTGCTTTCTTTGGATAAATAATAATAACTGTCATACATTTTTCCTGGCGATTGAACATTGAATATTTTAATCTGTTTTACCTAACCCGCCATGTTAAACATCCCTATCCTAAGCGTGATGTATACAACTTCCTTACTTCTCGAGTGATAAAGTATCAAAAAACCCACTCGGTGATGTAATGAAACCCATTTAAATAACATTGAGTGGATAACGTAAAAATTATACCTCTATGGAGCCAACGACGTTCAACGCTAGAAATCAGCTGTGTGCTTAAATATTATTGTTGTTTTGAAGAATTTTCCTAACCTAGCTTTTGTTTGTAAATGAACGTTACTGTTAGAAGATGAGTGAAATGGACAATGAAAAATATTGTTCGTAACCTCCTGTATATTGTCGGGTCAGGTAAAATCTTGTACGTTACACGTTACGCAAGAGCGTGTTTACATCACTTAGGTAAATTATGCAACTCGTGTGCGTGATGTAAAAACGCTCTTACTACACTTGTAAGGTAAATAGCTATTAAAGGCCTCAGTGTGAAGTGATTATTTGAACAGTATGAAGAATATCTGACATTCAACTAATATAATTCAGATAAAACAATATAATATTAGTAGATTAATTTGTCATATCATTAATCAAATTTGCGAGTAAAGTACCTTTATAATGATCAAGTGTCAGCCTCGCTTACTCTGAATGTAGAATTTTGAAAATATTAGGCCTATATATTTTATGGTATGCTAACACACTTGTATGATAAACATTTAAGAGTAACAAACTTGAAATATTTATTGTGCATTCACAATCAATCACAGGTTCCATCATTCAACATTTTTAGATTCTCAAAACCTATTAGATTACCTATCTAGGTTAAATGACCTACAGTAGTTGATCAGTAATACTGAACGTACAAATAAATTCAAAATGGCTTAAGCAACTATTTTGGTATCCAATTTTTCAGGTTTGTAGATTACCACAATGGTGAAACTGAATACAGAATCAACTGATAGAGAAATAAATTTACAAGACAACCAAGAATTCAAACTGTAAAAAAATGAAATTTTCTTTTTCCTAATCCATGTAAAACATAATACCAACACTGGCAACACTATTCATAAAAACAAAATATCCTATATATTAATAATTGGAGGCAAGCATGTTTCTTGAAACCCTTTTTTAACAGCTCGCACAGGGAAAACCAATGCATACCGTTAGAAAGATATTTTCCTGTTAATGTGCAGAATCCTTTTATAAAAAATAAACAGAAAATCAAAACAAATGGAAGAAATTCCAATCACATATTTTATTTACTGTGCGGGGTTAAATTGAGAAGTCTGCACATTAATATTTAGTTTTCGACTACTGGACGACCTCTAGTCAAACTTAAAAAACAAAATATAAGTGACAATAGGTAGTAAAACACCAGTTCAGGTTTTAATATATGTAATATATTTTTTAATAGTAGACACAAAAGTATCTGGGATCGGCTATTTATAAGCTGCGAGTATTTAGGTATAAAAATATACACAACATAAAATTACAATAATTAATATCTGAATCACAATAAAATTACGCGACTCTTATTGAAATAGGAATCAACATAATAAGTACAAAGGTTAAAAATATTTACAAAATTATTACACAATTCTTCGTTAAAACGGAAGAAGTAAAAACTGGCAAAATGTCATGAAAATTAAAATTACAAAAAACTGTCATTGCAAAAGTTTACTAGTAATAAGCTCCCATAATACTGTTAATATCCATACTCTTATAAAACCTGTTAATAAAAAGAGCGTTAAGAACCTTACTGTACATTGCCTAGTAAAATAAAATACAACCTGTCATAGTCTCATCTAATAATACTTGGATAATTTGTTAAAAACAAGACGTATGTTCATTCATGTAGGTATGTTAATATTATTAGCTTTTGCATTTTTATTTAAACAATAGTGGCAGTGAAAAAAATAGACAGAAAAGGAACACAAACCTTTGAGTATTCTTAGCTTGGGTATACAATATAACATAATAATACCATAATGAAATGAGGCAAATTTTACATTAAACAATGGGGTTTGATCAAGTTGAGCATTGAATATTGTGTGAGACCTAATTTTCCCATAAATAAGATAACATTTATTGTACAAAAATTTACTTTTTATTATAGATTTCTTAATTGTGTATAGACATCTAACTCAGACCCCTTTTGCTTTCATATCTCCCTATCATAATCTCAGCGATGCGGTATTACTGTAATTAAATATTTTTATATTTAGAAAATTAAATTTTGTTTTCAAGGTAGCTCTTGATAAACATTTTATTTAGAATCTTGTAATTTATTGCTGAGCTAAAAATGCATATATTAAATTGTTTTAGCTACCGGTACATAAATACAACTTAAAAAAATGAAGTTTTTTATTATTATAAGGTTGGAGAACACAAACAATTAAAAACGGGTATTTTCATTAAACTTGAGTTAACTGAGTTTGAAAAACTTTCAATGCCCAACATAATAAGAAGTACTTTTTGAAGATAAATACAAAACAAGAATCACTAGACCATTGTTAGTCACAAGTAGGCCTAATCACATAAAAGTTACTAATACGGTAGTATTTAAACCAGGATTATGTTTTCAAATACATTTAAGGAGTAAAATTATACTAACATGTCTATGAAAGTTAACTTTTTAACAAATTTATCACGCTTAAGGAACCTGGGAATTTGATAACTTAAAAAAACATGGAACATTGGTTAGGTTAATTAATATAGGCCCTACTATGTGTACCACTAAGAGGAAGACATTGCTATTTTTGTCTTAATATACCGCATCAAACACGCTACAAACTTAAAACTATACAGCTGCAACAAGTATATATGTAAACAATAAGCCTTCTTTCTCTATATACTATGGTATAGGGGGAGAAAGTAAGTCTTTCCAACTATATAGTTATTTTTGGTCTCCGGTAAAAAATTCCCTCTAAAATAAGTGGATTCCGGATAACCAAAGTACGGTACCAAAAAACCCTGGGTCCCACTTAATCTTTTACTTACAGAACTAAATTATTAAACATCAAAATAATGGAGTTTTTTTTATTTGAAAAGGCCGTTTTATTTGCAAAACCATTTCAAATTAATTCTTGGTTCTTTACTAAAAGTTGTGTCACTTTAACAAATGAAACTAAATGAATTAAAGAGATAGGCTACAAAAGAGGGAAGCCAAAATATTAAATTAGGCTATAATAATTTGATTCATAACCTTTATTCAAAATCTTGTCTATCAATCGCCATGCAGAGTAGTTTTTCCCACATTTTTTTGCTAATTTTGGTGTTCTGTCATTTGTTTTGGTTATAAGAATCATCAAATGTGACTCGGTGGTATTTTTCACAAGTTGTAGGTCTCTGTATATTACTAGTGTCTAGAGTTTCAAATTTGTAGTAGGTTTAATTTGTCAAGTATACAGTATATTAATTAAAAAATAGCAAGATCTTTAAGGGGCGCGGGGTACGCCTATTTCCAACATAACAAAATCATTCTTCAATCTTCGCCAAACTCAATTTTAATGATAACATTGGAAAGCAGAAACATGTGATTGCAGTAAAAAAGGAATCAAACGAACTTACACAATTAACGTATGAATGAGATTGAAATGAGATTTTTTACTCAACAAACCCTGTAGTTAAGTTGTCAACGTTGACCAATCGAATTGGTTGTTGACCAGCCAAATAGTTTATAGAGGCATAGCCTACTGTATTGTTGTCATTGGTTTAATAGTATGTTAAACACTAGTTGTTAAAAATTTAGGCCTACCTATTCTAATATACCAATGATATATTTTAGATTCCCAATGATATTATTAAAATGAGTCACGTATGTAATTTATTTCTTACAAGGCTTATGCCACTTTACTTATAGAATTATACATAATATTGCTAACCTCAATTATTGCTCAACTATTAAGGAATAAGGACGCACAATTTGTTATACTTCAACTGAAAACATATACTGTACCTACAAAAAAATATCAACCCAAAGTTTCTACTTAATGTTCTTAGGATATAAAAAAATATTTCCATTTTGTATTTAGCACATAAGTATATATATAAAAAAAATTACATGAACTGTGATTCTAAACTTTGTTCAACTAAATCTGTGGGAAACTGGAATTAAACTCATTTCCCCATGTTAAATTCAAAACTGTTATGTGCGAACAAATTTTCATAACTCCATAAATTACCATAATCACAAACTTTTTAACAATCTTCAATTTATGGAAGAATAATAAACCTGCCTCTCTCAAATTAAAATTAAAAACCACTTTTTTCTACTTGAAACACATTATATACCTATACAAAACTTATATTACAAGGTTTTGACAGTTTAAATAAATTTCCTTGAATGTATAATAAGGTGCAGAGTGCAAAATATCTTCTATCGTGTGCTTCTACAGGAACATTGTTATATTAGGCTAAACAATTAACATGAGTTAAAGTAATACTATAACTGTATTGAATGAATATTACCTCGTGAAAGATCAGCTACAGTAACGGATTTAAACTTAAAATGTCTAACTCAATTATTAGTAAAGCTTTTGTCAGTCTGAATTAAACCTAGATTGTTCAAGACTATTCACATTTTTTTTAACAGTATTGACTTGTATTTCTCTTACGTTTGGTAGGTCTGGGTGTGTGTGTGTGTAGTTATCCTCGGTCGGCGATAAGGCTGTTTAATTCCTTGCCGGTTCATGTGCGCAATTTGGACCTTGATGATTATAAGACGGCCCTGCGTGACAGGCTGGTAAATAGGCCTCTTTACAGCCTCGAAGAATTAGGCAACGAGCCACTTTTTAGCCATTGCCACAGTGTAAATAGTATTGTGTAAATAGTATTTTAGTATTTAGTAATCTGACGCAGTCATGCCGATTTCATCGGTCAACGACATAGACTACAAGTATCAAGTATCAAGTATCAAGTAAGCCTATTATATACTGTAATTGCCATTCAGACATGTCTTAGAAGGTGATTAAAATGTAATACTTCCTTTAAATTGACCATATCCTATCCTGTTAATTAAAATTTAGGGGTGGCCGAAGTCCTAGTATTTGAAAAGTTTGTAGGCACAAGTCCCACATCTCCAAATCTAAATAATCATCCAATGAATTTTGTTCATTTAGGTTAGGCCTATATAGGTAATTAACATATCAGAAGTGCTTAAATAGTTGCTGTCTTTCAACTAGGCCATATTATCCTAAACAATTTTTGAGTTTTATTTAAGTATGTGATTTAAAATATTTTATTATAAAGAAATTCAAGCATTGGCACAATATTTAAAAAATCTGCTCCTAGTATTAAAATGCAAAAATACTTGCCAGTTCTCTTAATAAAAATGATTAGCCCTAAATAAATATTAAAGCTACCTATACAGTTTGTAAAATATAACAACGTCGTAAATGTATAATAAGAGTAAAAAAAACACACTTTAAAAAATTGAGATTGGTAGAAATTACAAATATTTAGTTACGTGGTAAATAACTATAAAAAGAGGTTTTAAAGGGAGATTCAGAACTATCATTTAAATGGCGAAAGCCTTCACGGAGTTAATAAAATTACTGCAAGCAGTAGACAATATAAATGGGATTTCAAAACAGTTCTAAAAATGGAAATCTTTAAAGGCTCAAGATATATTATTTTCAAACAGTTTTATAATGTTTAAGAACATAAATTCTCATTCCTCAGCTCTCTCAAAAATATCCACTAGTAAGTTAGGCCTATTGTAGGCCAGTTATCATTAAGGGATTTAAACATTAGACAATAAGACCAACTACCGGGAAGGCTGTGGCGATGGCAAAGGAGTTGGCTGTGTTAAGTTTGTCCTGTGTGTAAAAACTTTTTGTTTGAGTGCCCATGGGATGGAAAACAGTCAAGTGTTAGAAATATTTTATTTAGGCTAGCTTAAACAGCAATTAGTTTGATCCTTATGCTTATGGTGAGGTTGAACTATCACTTCATGTTGTTTCTTGGACCTCAGGATTTACTGTTTTAGAGTATAAAAGGTATAATGTTACCTGGATCTGCCAGAGTAATCCAAATTGCTGTCTAACGACTACGCGTATCACCACTACACGGTATCACCTTTAATGATCATTAATTATTATCTGCCTTTGTCTATTTAATGATGAATTATGTTCATTTTTTATTGATAGTTAACCTAGCCTAGTTCATGAGGATTAATATTATTATCGTCATATTTCTTTTTATAAATAACTGTTTAAGTTAAATGGTGAGTACCGTGGAGATAGTAAAAGAATAAATGGTCTAATGATTAACTACCCGCCTTGGATCATTTATTAGGATAGGCCTAATGGTGATTTCAGCTGCACTGGGAGCCACAAAGTTTATAAGGACAATTTTAAAATCATGTTTAATTTTTGAAACAAAAACTTGATTAGGCCTGGTTTTATTTTCAACTGGAGCAATTGTAGTAAAACTAATTCCAGGATTACATTGACCCAGAAGCCTTATTAGAAAATATAAATATCTTGAGCCAAATGTTTATTTATAGCCTAGGTAAAGTATTAAAATGCTGAGTTAAATAATGCATTAAGTTAGTCACAATTGTTGTACATGTTCTATTTGTATAAGCCTAATAAATATATTATATATATTTATAATTTGGACAGATCATTTACAATGGTAAATAGGCTATTTGATTAGTTGGGATTCGTCCCACAACCAAAGATTTCTATGTACACGATTTAAGGAAAGGAAGAGTACTCGAAAAATAAAATCTACAAAATCTACAGATCAACGTTCCTTATAAAACGTTTTGCCACTTTGAAGAAACGCCTTAAAATCTAATAAAAAATACTGAAACCGTAGGCTTTACTATTAAACTATAGCAGCCCTTAGTAGTCTTACATTTTAAATAGGCCTATAAAATTATTAACTAAGCTTTGATTATAAAAAAAAGCGAACGTAGATCGAATCGAGTAAAAACCTAATTACACTAGCGGGCAATAAGACTGCACTAAAAACACTGTACTAGAGGAACATCTAATCCGGAAATTTACGGCCGGAAGTTATCGCAAATTACAAAAAATATAGTCCAAAATTGTTTATACGTTTAACTCACGTAAAATCTTCTCTAGGATGAACCATACTGGGCTGTGTGAATGAATCTTCTGGTTGTTCTCCGTCTGCTAGAGATCGGAAGCGTACGAAGCCATTCTCTGCTACCAGCATGGATGGTGAAGGCTGAAGCCGCCTCTCAAAGGGAACCAGAGTCCCGCATATGGATTTGCTCATGTCGTGATCGTCAGCTGGATGTTTCTTCAACGATCTCCTCTCAGTGGTGTTGTGTAGAAACATGTGCGGTCCAGCGTGCAGATTGTTTAGAGGGAAGGTATCGTCATACACCTGTTTGCCAGTTCTAAGAGAGTAGTTATGTATTGCTTGGTTTGAGCTGCAGATTGCTGGATAAATATCATCACCCGCTCCCCCTTCACTTCCTCTAGGAGTTGCTGCACCGCATGAAAACAATGCAAAGCCAGTGGCAGAGTTATGACTTTGAGTTTCTTTTTCCGCCTCACATCTCAGTGGCTGAACTCCAGCCCAAGACATTAAAAAGCACATGGAGATTTCAATAACTCTTACTGAAAATTGAAAACCCCACCATAACCAAACATGAGGAGATTCTTCTCCCAGGAACTCGTACACTCCGAACATTCCATAGAGCTGAACTGCAGCCATCAGTAGACTAAGCATTGCAGTTGCTAATGTAACACGAACAGCGTGAGCGAGGGTGGGACGATGAGAATCTGAGAACACCGATCCAAATATGTTACCTTGCTTCCGAAGAGAAGAATGAGATAGAGACTTATACAAATACAGATAAGAAAGGCCAAGTGCGACACACAGAATAACAAAAAGACATTGACATATCACTGGCAGAAGAGTAGAAAATCTAGTGGTGTTTGCCCATAGGTCTACACTTATACTCAAAATTAAGTGGGCTATGATGAACAAAGCTAGAACTGAAGCTCTTTGAAGTTTGTGACTCACCATTTTTACTTCACCTGCCAACAACAGGAACAAAAATAAAATAGCAAAAGATGATGTGAGCAAGGGGAATGCGATGTTTAGAAGTAGATGTGATACAGGATCAGGAAGAGAGTGATTGATATTGTAAGCATCGTAGAATAAAAACACACTCCGAGTTGTTCCAATGATAAGCAAGATGCCATGAAGAGTTAAAAAGTAACCTCTAGTAAGTAAACGTTTGAATGAACTTATCCTGATGATGTTTAGTAGAGAGCAAACTGCTAGTATAGCGAACAATGTGGCAATAAGGTACACGTGAATGTCCCATGCCACACCAAGAACATATCTTATTCTCGGTTCTGGTAGTTCTGGTAAATGAGCAACCTCGGGTGGATCTCTCGCTGCTAAGGGTGGTTCTGTCACTTCAATGCGCAGTTCTTCTTCTGTTACCTCTGGCGGTCGGGTCTGGGGTGGCCTAGTTGATTGTGTGCTCACTTCTTCTCTAGATTGTGCTGGAGTGAGTTTTTTCTCAGTCACCTGAGGAGGTTTCATACTAGGAGGTATTAATGTTTTCACAACTCCTTGTTCTTGTTTAATAGTACGAGATGCTTTAGATTCAGACTCAAACCTGGGTCTTTCGAGAATGTCTTGAAGGATATCATGTTTTCGTCCACTTCCTCCTGATAATATGCGAGAAACACTCGGATAGGGTAAAATTGGTACAAAATCAAAAGACTCGTTGACTGCTCTAGAATTGGTTGTAGTTGTGCTTGTTGTCTCGGAGTAAGGAATTTCAGCCAATTTTTTGAAACTGGGGGTGTTGAGGGTTTTTTTCCTTGTATCTTGCACTGGGAGATCAGGAGGTCTAATGGGAATAAGTTCTATTTCTGAAGGAAGCCTTGGTGGTGGTGGAGGAATAGGCCTTTTATTGGAAACACTGGCACCATCAGAATTACTATCTCTCAGTGTTGGTTTTTCTGCAAAAGGATTTAAATACTCAGGTGGTAAAGGGGGAGTGAAAAAGGCTCTGTTGGGAGGAGAATATGAAGGCATCTCCCTCCCTGTAGGGCTTGTTGGAGGTGGTAAAGTTGGGTGGGATGGATAGGCTAGTGTGGGTGGTGTCCTTGCACTTCGCGCACCAAGTAAACTTGATTTTGACACACCATGTTTGGACGCTAAAGTCTTGTTAAATACGTCACCACCAAACAATAACCGCCTGTCCGTTACACTGTCAGGGTTATTGTCCGCATGAATGGCATTTCGGGAAAATGCCATTAAAACTATTAAAAGTCTTAACTGAATGAACATCTTGAAAAATAGCAGGCTTGGTACAAATCCAGAAGCCCGACCCATTTTGCTTGTTTACATTTTAATAAAATTAAAGTTGTAAGTCAGCTTCCCATGACCCTGTACAATATTCACATACATATATTACATAAATAATCATTTTTAAGGCTGGATGAGCAAGGAGAAGTTTTTCAATTATGACAGTTTAGGCCAAAAAGTAAGCAAGTAAGAATCTAAGTTTAAGTCCTAGGACTCTTAATGGTGTTGTATAAAAACATTTTAAATTTAAAACAAAGAAGGAATAGTTATCACAGTCAACACATAATATAGCTTTGGATATAGTCTATGTAAATCCAAACAGTCTTAATAGTCACTAGGCCTATGTGTGAACAGTCCATTGTCCCTATGGAATATATCAGACTTTACCTTCATACTTTGCCACATTTCCAAGGTGTTAGAATATTGTTAGGCATGTTAACTTCGTCTTCAACATTGAGAATAATACAACGAAATTATTTCAATGATAGATTTGTGATCAAGTAGGTCGCATTACAATGTTCTTCACAATGAAAATAGGTTTAACCTACTTGTCATTCCAAAGGCTGTGCGCTATTTACTACAGTACCACAACGAGCTACACCCATAGTTTTCACAGAAGATAATGTCGTGCACGTTCAACAATAGTTGTGATTCGTATCCATAAAACACTTAAAACCAATTCACTTTTCTTTCAACAACTTTTCATAGCACTGAAACGAGGATTTTGTCGAACAATGAACAAAACAATGAGAAAGTCGTGAAATCTCGCTTGCGGCCATTTGCATTACATGTTACTGACACTGAACAGAACAGAACAGAACGGAGAAAAGAAAGAACAAGTTCTTCTATCGTTGGTAAACATTCCATTATCCTGTTGAAGCCAGCAACATTTTCCACATACTATATGTATAAAAGTTTGGCTAACACTGTCCGAATTTGAGAAAATGTGAAAGATTAAGAGGTTTTAGCATTGGTTTTGAATAGTAAAAGGAATTCGAACTCTCATATAATCGTAAAATCTGAAGCTGGAGCCTTTCATGATTGTCTATTGGAAACTGTAGTTGAAGTTGTATTACTGTAATAGGTATGTTTTATGGTTTTATCTATGGTAATAGCATAGACTAACGTATGTTTTATCTATGGTAATAGATGGTAATAGCATAGACTAACCAACACAAGTAGACTTCTCATCCCATTGTAAATTTTGAAGCACGTTTTTCGTGTCTAGTTCATGTACGTGACACAAAGGCGATAGTGTCGACGAAACTTTGTTTCTATTATTTTAGGGTTAATTTCTTGATTTGTGCTTTACTGTTTGGTTATATAACTAGGGGACAAGTTATTGTTTATGATTAGATTGTATTATTTGGTTAAACGAGGTTTTAAATGGCTGTAATAACGGGAAACAAATTGTAAACAAAACACGACCTCTACAGAAAACCGTACAGAACTAACAATAAAATTGGCTTCAGCTGTTCCATAAGGATGGGAAATCTACTAAGGGTGTATGTTTTATCTATGGTAATAGCCAAAGCTTTCATGTTTGTTTGGTTTCGTTTCGTGTTAGTGCCGTTTAAGCGCTAGTTTAGACGAAATGTCTTTATCATACTTTGGTGTATAATTTATAATTTGTGCTTTACTACTTGGTTATAAAACGAGAGGATAATCTAGAATAGAATTAGCTTGTTTATTTTTGGTAAAATAGTTTTCATAATTTCAATGAGTTGAAGGACACAACTACCAATGAATACAAAACCTTTTGTATTCATTGCAACTCATTGACTTTTGCAGAACGCTCAATTCCATCCCCACGTCTACCATCAAATTTTTAAACAGATTTTCTCCCAGCACTTAATGTATGGACGACTGGAAGTTCAAGACTTCTGTGAAAGACTTGATGATGAAAAGACCATACTAAAAGGTTTCTGACTTCTTTGAAGATAATCTGGAGCGGGACAGTTAGCTTTTTGTTTTTGTACTGTCTGCTGCCTGCCCACCATGTAAGCAGTCTACAGCAGTATACAGTCTTAATTCATGTCTGCGTGTAGTTTTTTCGTTTTTTATGTACCTACCGTAATAACCAGACGCAGTCTATTCCCTCTACTAGAGGGTCAACGAAGAAGGAAAATACAAATGCAAATTTACCAATTCCAATGGCCCGGTCGGTAACTAAGCACTAAATCGTGACACCATGACACCATTTTCAACCGATTTGCTCAATGTGGTAAAGCGGATGACGTCATCGCCGGCCGCAGTTTTTCCTCATTTACTTGGGTGTTTTTAAAGCACAAATTATAAAACTTATATATTGTTGTAGCACAAAATGAGCACTATATCGTGACACCATTTTCAACCAATTTGCTCAATGTGGCGGGGCGGATGACGTCATCACTGGCGGCAGTCTTTCCTCATTTACTCGGTTGTTTTTAGAGCACAAATTATAAAAACTATATATTGTTGTAGCACAAAATGAGCACTAAATTTCTATGTATAATACATTGTCAAATCATTTGGTGACGGGCTGAACGTGAAGATAGCCCCACCAACAGTTTTTAGAATTTTTTGGTGTGTTATTGTTGAGCACTTATTTTATATATATATATATATATATATATATATATATATATATATATATATATATATATATATATACCTTTGAGAAGCACAAATTCAGCACTAAATTATGGATATGTTTTTATAATTTGTGCATATTATGGTGGGGCCAACTTCATGCGAGTGCCTTGGACCTTGGACCGCTTGGGCTTGGACTGACGGACGAGTGCGGAGGCCACTTCTTCACATGTACAGAAACCTTATAATGACGTCACATGACTATCAACTGCTTTTCAGCTATCGGAATCGTGATGGTTTATGCAATCGATTATCGAAGGCCGAAGGGAATGTACTCACAGTACTTACTTCAGGGGTGCCCATCCCCCCCTAGACTCATGACGCTCCCCCCCCCAATTGAGCAACAGCCCCCCCCCACTATAAATGAGGTACACAACAAATTAGAAGCATTATTCCCCCGCCCAGCATTATTTGTAAAACTAAAAGAAGTTGTATACATTATTTTTGATATTGAAAATTCAAACCCAGTTAATCTATATAAATAAAATTATAGTTTTGTCTGTACATTGCTCAGAATTATACATATTTTTGGTTATTTTTACGTTTTATACATTGAAGAAGTTGAAACATGTCTTATCTCAATTTTTTATGTCCGTCTGTCACGGCCCAGAATGCGTTTTACTTAGCCTACTCTAAAGAAAACTAGAGTACAGATTATGATTCTTATGATTTAATTGTATTCACAGGATTGGCGAGAGTGTCCTTAGCCATTAAAATGTGGCCTCACCATTTTGGAAATAAAATAACGGACGATCAAAAACCCAGTTTTGTGTGATTTTTCTATTTTTTCCTCCATGTTTACTACATACGTCATTTATGAAATACAAATAACCTGTTAAGAAAACACGTCATATATGAAATAACGAACAGCAGTTTTGATAAAGATTCCTTTTTATAGCTGTAACTGATATGTATACATAAATGTTGTTTACGAATATGTGTAGGCCCTAACCATTTCCGATCACGTTTGTAACCATTTCCGATCTAGTTTGTAAGCAAATCCAAAACCAAGTGAGATTAATAACCGTGTGGCTTTGGCTTATATAACGGGTTTGATTTATCACGGGTACTAATATGTAACTGTAAATTAAATTAAATTAGCCATTATCCAGGTCGGGAACCGGAGATTCTGTGTGTATCAAGTTGTACTTGAATTTTGATTACCGGGAAAAGACCGTGAATCAGTGATGTACAGGACTGGAAAACTTATCTTTCTATATAAATAAAATTAGAGTTTTATAAGTCACCTCAATTTAAAGAAATGTTTATTGCCAGAATACCTATATAGTGTTCATAACCTCTGCTTCAAATTGTCAGCGTCTTTCTCTTGATATAACGACTCCCTCTCCCTCCCTTTGGAAACATCACAGATTCTTTGATGAAAATGAAATGGAAACAACGCTTGCGCCAACAATCGTCTGCTCCGTTTTACACTTCTGTCTGCTGTGCGATATGTTACAACATATTTAAGATACAACAGCTGGGGAATGAACTGTTATTATGTAAACTAACTGTTATTGAGTGATTAGTAACCATGGTAACTTTAGTAAGGCTGTGATTTGTAAAGAAAAAAAAAAGAAAAAAGGAAATGGGTTTCCCCTTTCTACTACTTTTATATATTTAAATATTGTATTTAAATATATTTACTCCTTGCAATGCTCTTTAATGAATTCTTTACAAATGTTGGTTGCCCCTAGGTTGGAAGAACTCTAGAAAATAAAAATATCAGACAGAGCTTTTGGCAGTGGAAGCTTGATGTTATAAAAAATATGTGTGGGCCCTGCAAAATATAAATATTCCCCAAAGGTCCTTAGGGGACGCCCTTGGTACTGTTATGGTTCTTCCAAAAATGTAATACCTTTAATGAGAGCAATTTACCAGTCTTAATTCTACACTGAATTTACTTGCTCACTACTACACTAGTGTTTAGTGTTGCACTTAAAAGGTGAATCTTTTGTAGTGGCTTATGATTTACTGAATTACCTTTTGTTTACCAATTAGATACTATTGCATATACTGAATTACCAAGGTTATTGAGAACTAAAAAGTGAGTGCAATGAGTAGGCCAGTAGGCCTAAATATGGCAAATTGTTGAATTTGTGTATGAATTGAAGATAAACCTAATAAAGAACAGAAAATCAAAGAAAAAGAATAATAAGATTGTTCTCGTTTCATTCTTTTTTAAGAGTGCTTTTATTATCTCTAAATATAATTTTACACTTTTTTATTAATTACATCTATCAATTCCTATGCTGTGATACAGCACCTATTGGTAGCCTATAGCCTCGTTCACACGGGGCGAGTTTACACGCTACTCGCCGGCGTGTAAGAAGCCGGCGAGTGTGCTTGTATTCGTTCACACGGAGCTTGTCCACTTGCCAACTCGCCGACGTGTAGAAAGACGCCGGCGAGTCGGCGAGTGCGCTTGTAGTCGTTCACACGATGCTTTTTCCAATCGCTCAGTAGCTGGCTTGAACTAAATCCTCCGACTTCTTCGAATAACATGCGCACAAGCACAAGCAACTGTGTTCACACTGGGCTACTTTACACGCCTACTCGCTCAAAAGCTGGCGAGTTGGCGTGTAAAGTAGCGGCACCGTCAACTTTTTCCAGAGCTTTTTTACAAGCAGCTTTTGAGCGAGTACGTCGTTCACACTGAGCTATTTTACTAGCTGCGTGTCCTGCTTGTAGCTTGTAAACTCGCCCCGTGTGAACGGGGCGCGTAATTTTTTTTTCAATTGGAGTTCCGGCCTATAGGGCATAATGCAGTCATTTGGAGGCTTCTGACTGGCTATAATGAAGGATTACTAATCTAAAAAATAGATCTGTTCATAAAATAAAATTATAAATGCCTCAAATTCATTTTTATAACTTTTTAATTATAAAATTAAACTATCATAACCTTACCAAACCAACCAAACTTGCTGATGATGAAAAAATCCAATGAAGGTTTACTAATCGAAAAAAATAGTTATGTTTATAAAATAAAACTATAATTAAATGGCTCTAATTCATTTTTATAATGTTTTAATTATAAAATTAACTATCATAACCTAACCAAACTAACCAAACCTGCTGATGGTGAAAAAATTGTAGACAAAAAGTTAGTGTCATGACTGGGATTCGAACCTGGTACCT